ATTTATTATAAATTTTACCAATCAACACGGACTTCCATCACCTGGTAAAGTAATTAAGTGATAAATTACAGTTAAAGGGTATAAATTTCATAGTAAAAATTGGCGGAAAATTACTATTACTTTCATATAGTGATCATACCCTAAGGTATGATAACCAGTTAACCACTAGGTTATCCGAATATCCGGATTATGAAATTGATTAACGGGTCATTAATTAAGATATCCGGTTAACCTATCCGGTTAACCTAAGATATATATAGTAAGCAATTTTAATTATTTTAATTATTAATATACAACTGGTTGAGTTGCTTTCATACAAATAATTTATCTTTATTTTAACCTGATCTACGTATCTGGCTTTGTTGACTTATAACTCAGGTTACGACCGGTTTTTTGCATATTGTATTATATATCAGTACATCGTATCTGTGTTAAAAAATCTCGTGCAATATCACGTATACAGCATTTTATTAAAAAGATCGTAAGTTTTATATGCATGTAAAGAGTTAATGAGATATGTATAATCTATACGGCTTATTTATTATGTACACCTAATATTTATTTAAATCTTTATACTAGGTTGATAATCATCAACTAATTATAGTAGCTTTTTAAAAATCAAATTTGATATGATAAAAAAATTTTTGATTTTACTTTGGCGACATTTACATATGATTTGGAATAAATCATTCATTTTATCAAATAATAAATTTAGAAGTTAATTTATTCAAATCAAAAAAAATATCAAGAAAAAATATTTAAGATTTTACTTTGGCGACATTTGCATATGATTTGGAATAAATCATTCATTTTATCAAATGATAAATTTAGAGTTAATTTATTCAAATCAAAAAATATCAAGAAAAATATATACATACGATTTTAAATTCTTGCTGATACATCAAAATAATAATAAATTAGCAAAGACTCAAAATTTAAAATAAATAGTTGTTTGAAAATACGATACTATAATCTTAAAAAAAAAAAAAATGCTTGATGAAAATTCTAGCGAAGAAGATACTACTGTTCTATTTGATAAAAAACACAAAAAACAAAAAAAAATACCTAATACAAATTTGTCAGAATTATCTCAATCTGAAGTCTCTACTTCAGATGAACGCAATAATATGGTTGATGAGATATCTGTCGAATGTGATAATTCAGTCAATAATAATGACATATTCGATGAACATAATAATCTGATTAATGAATACGAAAATAGCCTGGTTAATGAATATGAATATAACCTGGTTGATGAATACGATGATAACCTGGTTAATGATGATGATAATAACTTAATTAATGATAATAATAATAACCAGATTATTAAAGATAATCAAGATAATCAAGACAATGCACTTTGTTCAATCTTACAAAGCCAACCAAAAATATGTCAAAAACACCAAATTTAAAAGAAATAAAGTTAATTCCTATTATGAACCATTCAGGGTGAAGTTGGATTTGGTCTTATTATCAACGTTATGAAGCTGTACCACCCTACAAAACAATTGTAAGTTGTTTAGTAGAAGTTCATAAAAATAATAAAAGTGAATTATGTGGACATCTTATGGGGTCAGTAGATAGCTCAATGAGAAATTATATTGGTCACTTAGCAACACGACATGGTATTACAGAAAGTTCACATAATAAAAAAATAAAACAACCTTTATCTTCGCAACTTCAAATTGATAAAATGATTTATGGTAATCCAGAACGTAAGCGTCGTTTAGATCAAAAATTTGTTGAACTTTTAATTAAGGATTAACAACCATTAAATATTCGAAATAATGAGGATCTTACGGATTTTATTGCAGAATTTGATCCATCATACCAATTTCCGAGTGAAAGATATTGCCGACAATTGCTTTCTGAAGCATATGAAAATACTAAACAATCATTATTAGAAATATTTGAAAAAAATATTATATCATGCTCACTAACCTGTGATTTATGGACTGGACATAATAGATTAGGATACTTGGGTGTAACTTGTTCGTACGTTGATACTAATTTTCAATTACAAGAAACGATTCTTTCTATTGATTATCTTCCTTATCCGCATACTGGCGAGATTATTGCTGAAGCATTAAATTCAATTATTAATGAATAGAATCTTAGTAATAAAGTTTTTTCGATTACTACAGATAATGGTAGTAATATGATTAAAGCACTAGATTTAATGCAAGATATAATTCGTATCTCATGTACGGCATATACTCTCCAGTTAGTTGTTGGAAAAGGTCTTTTAGAAATAGAAAATTTAGTTAAACGTGCAAAAAAACTTATGCTATATTTTACTACTCCCAAACAAACTCAACGGCTTTTGGAAGCTCAAAAAAAATTTAATTTTAATGAAAATATTGTAAGTATTTACTTTGAAATTCTAACTTATATGTATTCTTGTCACAGATGATCATGAAATTGGATGATTGGTATATACGATTTTTAAAAATTTTTAGAGCCTTTTTTATTAGCTTTTTTTATTAAAAATTTAGGGTTAGAATTTAGTGTTATTAATAAAAGAGAACAGATGGATTTTGGTAACTCGAATAGTTTTAGTAGCTTTTGACCAACTGCATTATCAAATGCGGTAAGACTTTCCATCTTTAGTCATATGAGGTAATTTCGTACTCTACACTCTTTTTTTTAAGTAGAGGTGAAGTAGCTATCCTACGAAGAGCTTTGCCATCTTTGTCAATTTCTTCGTATTCAATAAATAAGTTATTAGACGCAGGAATTCTAGACAACAAATCTCACATTTTTTAACTTGTCCAACAAAACAAAAATAACCTTCATCAGTATCAAAGAACCTAAATTTCACTACTATCCAATTTCACAATCATCCGTAATATAAATTAAGTTTGCGAAACCACTAATATTTAATAAAAAAATCCTTTATTAAAAATTAGTTTAAAATTTTTTTCTTTAAATTATAGCCTTTTCTTTATAACGGTTTAGTTACTAAATAAAGGTTTTTAATTAGGACCTTTCTCAAAATGATCAAGAATTACATATAATTGCTGATGTGCCAACAAGATGGAATTCTTCTTATCTTGCTTGGCAACGGCTAATTAAAATTCGAAATATAATTGACCCTATGATTACAACGCTATCCTTAGATAAAGATACTCGAAAAGAAGCAACACAATTAAAAAAAATTAATCTTACTGAGACTGAGTGGGAAGCTATAACAAGTCTTATCTCAATACTTGAACCATTTGCAGAGACTACGGATTTATTAGGAGGTAGTAAATATTCAACAATAAGTTTTATGTATAGTGCAATTAAGGCGATAACTAATAGTCTTATGATTATTGATGATTTTGTACTTCAACAAGTAAATTATGATGATGATGAAAGTGCTTTTAATGATAATAATCAAACAGATGATAAATCAACTATTCCTTATGATTGTACAAATATTGAAAAAAGAGTAAAAATAGCATTGTACAATGCTATTAACTATTATTGGCAAGTACTATCCGAAGAAGGAATGCTGGCTGCATTACTAGATCCTCGATGCAAAACATTGAGTTTTACTTCAGAATCTCTAAGGTCTAGAACTTACAGTTCATTGCGTGAAGTATATAGACAGCACCAAAATCAAATAGACATATTATCTATTAAACAACCACTACGTCCTACAACAAATTATTAGCTACTATGTTTTGATCAAATAATACACATATGGATGAAATTTCTGACTATATTGGAATGACAGAAATTTCTTATGACCAATGTCCATTTGAGTGGTGGAAAAGTAATCAAAGTCGTTTTCCGGTTCTAGCTTATTTGGCACGAAAATATCTAGCTATTTTAGCTACATCAACATCTAGCAAAAGGCTATTTAGTGAAGCCAGAAATATTATGTCTCCTAAAAGAGCGAATCTTTTACTTATTACACTTGAGCATTTGATTTTTTTAAACAAAAATCATTATGCCATTGGTGATATTTTTCCAAGTAAATTTAAGTTACAACAAGAAATTTATTTTAAACACGTACATTAATAAATTTTTGTTTTTTAGAACAAACCCGTAAAGCGAATAAGTAGTATATATTTTTTTTCAGGTAAGAATACCTCATTATAATATATAAATTTTTTTTTTTTTTTTTTTAATCATCATTTTATATTATTTATATAATAATATATAATTACCGATCTTTAATTACTTTACACCAAAATCAAATTTTATCAATTAGTTCAATACGTATAAGTTGAAAAGTTGAGAATATGTAGTAAGAAATTTTAATATCTATTAATGTATTGAGTTAAATTAATTGGATTAACATAATAAACCTTTTATTAAGGGTCTTGTTTTCTGAACTACCCCGATCAAATACAAACTTTGAAACAATCGTATCGAATAAGTCAGGTGTTATCGAATCATGTACAATTGAAATTTTTTCTTACTTGGCTAAAGCAAATTTTTCGAATTAGATATTAGAAAAATTATATATACAGCGCAATCGTTTATATATAATGTAGTCACACAAATTATACGTAGTACTTTCAATAAAATATGATCATTTATTTGAACCAGTAAATTTCTCAAAATTATAAAACTTATGTGAAATCATAATCTGCAAGATTACATCTTGCAAAAAACGATAACCCATATATAACCTACCTATAAAGAGGTTATATCCAGATATACCCGTTACCCTTTTATTCTAATAGGGTATAAAACCGAATATTAGATTTTATTAAAGGGTATAACCTTTCGGGTAAAGAGTTAACCGGGTACGAACACTAATGGGTGTGTTACAAATTTTATGATCGAGGGATAAATTCAAAGCAGGGCAACATTATTTGATTTGTCAATCATTTGTACATATATAATTTAGGCTAAAATCTTACAAGAAATCTTTTTTTATTAAAATACAAAAGTTAGTTTTTATAGATATATATAATTTTGAGTTATTTAGATTTGAAACTGAAGTTTTTAAATTATATAATCTGATTGGCTTGATTGTAGTTATTTTTTTAAAAAAAGGCATGCCTTCTAGCTTAAAGGCATGCCCATGTGTGTGCCCAAGGGCATGTACAAGGGGGAGCATGCCCTTACACCTTGTGCTCCTCACCCTATTGAAGATACAACAATTTAATTACTTCATTAAGTTACCACATCTTTCTGATAATTATTTGTCTAACTGCTATCTAACTATAAGTTAAAAACTTAAGGTTTAAAGTCTAAACTATTTGTTACTTTTGTTTATAAATTATTATCAATGAAGTCTTAAAATATAATATGTTGAAAAGTAGACATTTTGGATAGTTTGTATAAAATCAAGCCTTTTCTATTAATCTTTAAATAAACTTTTTTATATATTTGGTATTTAAATTAAAGAAGTCTTTAGAAACAGCAAGAATACAGAAAATATAGATAAAGAAAATAAAAAGATAAAAAAAGATACTTACAAACTAATATTTTGCAAAATTTAAGAATACTCTTCACTGTTTTTTTATCAAATTTTTAATGAAAAATATGAGATATGGTTTATTCTTATTAAAAAATTAGCAATATTTACTACTTCTATATCAAGAAAGACTTAAATATATATAATGAAAATAAATACAACACATATATAAAATACTAATTATATTAATAAGAACAGGTTATAATATTGTAAAATTCAAAAAAAACTTAGATTGATTCAAATATAATTTGTTAAGAATAAAAACTTTTAGAGACAAACTCAAAGAAGTAGCTTCTAATGATAATCGATAAATTTTA